CTACCCTGGGGTAAACACCTTTCAAAAATGAAAAAAGAAGCTGGGTGTGGTGGTGCGTGCATTTAATCCCAGGACTCAGGAGGCTGACACAGGCGGATCTGTATGAGTTCCAGGCCAGCCTATTGCATAGCAAAACCCTGTCTCAAAAAAACAAAAAAGAAAAACAGTAAGACCTTTTAGATGTAGAAATGTTAAAAATAATTTCTTATGAGGACAGTTATTCTACCATAAATATTTAAGAAATTTCTTTACATAGAAGGAAAGTGACAACATATAGAAACCTGGATCAAACATAACTTATCAAGACAATTTACTTTTTTTTAATTCAATTTTATTTTTATTGTTTAATTTTATACACATTACACTTAATTTGCATTTTAAAACCCAAGTACTTTAAACATTTAAAAAGGAGAGGAAAGGAGATACTGTATTTGATTTGATACTTTTTGAATTAAATACCTTTTAAAATTAATTTTCCAGGAGAAAATTCAAAAGCCAGTAAGCTTCTGAAGGCTTTGTATTCACGCAAGTTCACTGTTCAAGTAAGATTTTTTAAAACAAGCGCCCTTGGCTGGTTTCAGAGTCAGACAGAATGAGCCACAGCGCCGTGCGGGGCACAGCCTCCTGCAGCTCCACTTCGGCAACCTAGCGTCAGCTCCTAGCACACAAGGCAGAGCGTGACTGTGATTTTTATTCTTGAGCTAGTAAACGTTGCATCACAGGGCTGACAATCCATCCTATATTGCTTGCTTAAAGGTTCTTGTTAAAAATATAATAAATTATAAAAATAACAATTAGAAATTGTAATATACCTAATTCTTTTTATTTGGTTTGAAAACCAGTACATCTCTTGCATTGTGTTTGGCAACTGGACATCATACTATGGGAATAATTTGAACATCTGAAGGATAAACTATTTATGCATCCTCTAGAGGATCTGGGCATTATTTAATTATTCAGTTACAATTCTGGCTCGACAATTGTCAAATGAAGTAACTACAAACCAGGTAAGCAACATTCTAGGCAGGAATGGTGGCGCCCACCTGCGACCCAGCACTCTGGGAGTGGAGGCAGCAGAGAGGCAAGCCAGAGCCTAGCCTGGCAGGCAGCGACTCAACAAGACCCTGCCTCAAAGAAAGAGCAAAGCAATAAAAAGCCCTCACAATAGGATGAGTTTAAGAAGCAAATTAAGGAGGCACAAAAACATTACACAACGCTCCCAAAGCTGTAAAGGGAAAGAGGGGCAGGTAACAGCATTCTCTGCTAACTTACCAACTACGCTAAGCCCCAGCTTCTCTCTAAAGATTAGCTCTGTCCAACAGATACGGACACCAGACACATTATCCAGGAGAGTTTGCCTAAACTATACTGTTATTATTAAAAAACTTAATTTTAAGAATCTATGTTTATCATACATTACCAAGAATTTACAAATGAAATAGGATAATTTTCTGAATTATTAGGCATGTAACAAGATACTGATCAAACCTGACACAACTGAGTACAAAACAAAATGGACAATATAAATTTAAATAAATTTTAGGAAAGGTGCTTATTAATATGATTTTTAAAAAAAATACTAATTATAAGATTATATATAAATAAAAATTCAAAATTCAAAAGACAGTACCACAGCCACAAACATATCAATGGATATTAAATCACCTTCTAATTGATCTTTTCTGCTTTATGAAGACGTTCTAACAAAGCACTCATAATGTTGCCCGGTATTCTTTGGTGCTTATCAATCAAAGCTTGAAGAGCAGTCTTTGGTCTTCTCAGCTAACTCTTCTGCCGTTATCTCGGGGTCATAGGAATGGGGTCACCTAAATACTTCCGCAACTTCACCGAGAAGCCCCCATACATCGGAGCAAATGGATAGGGGAACTTTTCATAAAGCCATCTAAACAATCTTGTTGCTCCGAGTGATCTAAATCCTTCTCCAATATTTTGTGTAAACAAAGGGATAATGGGCGCTTCTGCATCCAGCGCAACCTGAGAGAAGTCCTTGCGGTTGCCCCACACAACGCTGTAGGTCTCCTGGCTCATTAGGGCCTCTCGAACGCCACCTGGTGAGATGGCCAACAAGTGACCACTCCTCAGAATTTCAACACATTTTTCTCTTGGTCCATGAAGAGCACAGAATACATCAAGTAATAAACTAAACCCTGGAATTTTAAAGACAGTGATCAGCTACTACTTGGCAGGTTCTGCTTTGAGGATAAAAATTTTAGCCATGAAGTAGTAAAAATCAATAGGAATAGTTCCATGATAAAAAATTATAAGCGCTGGTCCTTCTTCCAGTATTTTTTCTATCCCATGAACTTCATAACCGTGCCACAACACCACGTGACTGTCCCCCACGGGTGCCACCGTTTTCCTTGCACCATCCCATAAGTTATGTGAGTAGGCTTCCTTTAGCACATTCTTCCCCTTATAGATATGTAAGAAAATAATGGTCAGGTAGAGGAGAAAGATGGTAAAGGAAGGAAGGACTACAAGTATCAGTGGCGTAAAAACCCACAAGAGATAGCTGATAAAGTTCAAATAGTCCTCCAAGTGCTGTGTCAAGCCACTCCTCAAGCACGTGGATCAGACAAGTCACGTAAGGCTCGGTGTCGTGTCCCGCAGCACAGGTTTGATTTCTGTCTATCTTCCTCTAGGTGAAAATGATGTATTCAAGCTCTTTCTTCATAGCTACAGCAGGTCTTTAATTCTGACACAGAAATTAGGTAAATATCTTGTTCTAAGCTCCAGTGTATATATCCTCAAAGTGGGGCAGCTAATCTTTTATTTCCACCCACTCGTGAGGCCAAACTATCAACGGCGGTCCTCAGTGTCTGCATTTGTACTGTCCCAAGAAGCATCGATGCCACGGTAGCAGGGATGACAAAGACCGGATCCTGGGCGCTCCACCACTTTCAGGTCAGGACCTGCTTCTCCGAGGGAGTTCCTGCAGGTTGAGGGCTGGCCACCCTTCACCGCACCGTTCACCACATGCTCTTCAGGGCATCCGCGCTTCTCAGCGCTTACCCCGAAGGCTCGCAGGCGCCCGGAGCGCCCGGCACCGGCGCCCAGCGTCCCGGGCAGGCCCTTCGCCGCCACCGGGCTGAGGCTTGCTGAGGCGGGCAGAGAGCGCCCGCGGGCCGGCACATTCCCCTCCGGGCCGGTCGGCGCGCCCAGCTTGCCTTCGCCAGCCGCCAAGCGACAATTTACTTTAAAAACACCAAAAAATACACGTAAAATCCATAAAAAGACCTAAAAAAATCAATTACCTCATTTTACCTCATCTGTGAGTTAAGTTTTACCTCAGTAAAAGAACAAAAGAAGTGAGTGAAAGATCAGAATGAAAAACAGAAAACAGAACAGAGTTAAAAAAAAAAAAAATCAATGAAACCAAGAGCTGGACTTCATAAGAGATAATATTAATAGAACTCAAGCCAGCTCAATGAGGCAAACAAAGAAAAACAAATACTACCCTGGTATCAAAACCAGGAAAAAAAAAACAAAAAACCATCATGATAAAACTACAAAAGTAATAACCCTCAGGAACACAATGTGAAAATTCTTTATACCATCTTCAGAAATTTGACAATATAATAATACGCTTACATATCTGTGGAAGATCACCTGGTTGACTTTCCTAGAATGGGCAATTATCTCCATCTGGGCTAATCCTGCCCTTACTTCCATGTGCTGATATGTACAGAGCTGGCTAGAACTTTTCCCTATCCCTTCAACTGGCTTTGAGCAATGCAACTTGGTCCAGCCCAGGTGCTGATGTGTAGCCTTTGAAGTTAGGTTACAGGGCAGGGTTTCCCCTTCCCATAGCTCCACACCACCATGTGTGAGACACAGCAGGAAGGAGAGCCGCGCTGTGCTCCACACTGTGGGCGGGGATGGAGCCTCAAGATAAGAGGCTATGACTTCCCAGGACATAAAAGATTACACACGAGAGCTGAAGCACCAAGTCCGAAACATTAGATAGCACTTTAATTGTATCATGCAGATGACTCTGTCTGCATATCCTTCTCTCTGCATAGTACAGGGGTGATAGAAATTATCCTAGCTGGACTGAGGACGTCCCTGACACCCTAGAACTATGAATGTGCCTCAGTGTCTTTATTCTCACCACGGGTTGTACTGGAAGTGGTAGACTGGAACTAACTCACTAGAATTCTAATAATTTATCCATGGGATTACAAATACTTCCCGGAGTGAGACCAGGGCCAGGATGGGCTCTCTCTATATCCTGACTAAACACAATTTATCTCAGAAATATTCATTTGAAAACCAATCAATGTTTTATCACTTTAGCAAAACAAAACAGAATCACTTCAATCCATGCAAATAAGCATTTGTGAAAATCCAGTGCATGCACACACACAACACACATAATCTCTGCATACTAACAACAGAAGGAATATTTCAAGCTGATAAAAAGCATCGATGAAAAACCCCTAGGTTTAATGATGAAAAGAAGTTTTCCCCTAAAATCAGCAATCAGGCAAGGATGCCTTCTCTTGTAAGTTCTATTAAAACATTATAGTAAAGTCCTAAATAGTTTAGAATGAGAAAGAAATTAAAGGTATATAAAGATGTAAGCACAGCCAACTTACATAAATCAAACCAAAAACCAGAAACCTTAAAGACAAAAAATACATAATACAACGAATGTTTTGCTTTGCTGTTTGGAGACAGGGTCTCGCTATGCAGTCAGGACAGGCTAGCCTTGCACTCACAACGCAGTCCCGCAGGACTCAAAATGCAATCATTGTTTTGCCTCAGGCTTCCCAGTCTTGGGATCATAGGCATGCGCCACCACACCCATTAATAAAGTAAAGTTTTAACATGTCATTAAAAGGAAGTTACTGGGGCTGGGGAGATGGCTCAGTGGAATAAGCACCTCTCTGGCAAGTGCAAGGGCCTGAGTTCGAACCCTGATTCTGTCAAAAAAAAAAAAAAAAAAAAACAAAACAAAACAGATAAAAGTTACTTACTCAGCACATACAGTTTTTCCCGCTGACGTGTGTGCAGATACTAAAACAGACTGATTATTGTCAACACACTGAATGGCTTCCCTTTGGAAAGCATCGAGTATAAATGGGTATTCCTACAAAAACAAAAATATTAATTACTGGGGGAAAAATACATAGCTACCTCAAATACACTCCAAGTCAAAAAAATGAGCACTCTTTTAGCATTCTTTAATTCTACATGGGAAATATGCCACACTAGGGAAAATTAGGAAAGGGAGAAACAACTTTTCTAGGCATCATAAAAAATGGTTCTGTTGTTTAATCTTTCGATTATAATTATGTACACATTAAATACTAAAATATTTACTATTTACCAAGAAATAGGTATTGTGCAACATATTTTACAAACATGACCACTAATCTTCGTGACACTAACACTGGCATCATTTTTTTCAGGATGAGAACTGAGGCTCTGAAATACGAGGTCTCTCACTTGAGCATGCTCAGCACAGGCAGAACAAAACAGCTGTGACTTTTAGGAGCCAAGGCTTACTCCACCAGATTGCCTTTTTTGCTTAGAGAAAATTACTTGGAAAAAAAGAGCCTCAAAATCATTTTAACTTAACTTTTAAGATCTACAAGATCTTCAAAGTCCATCTAATGAAAGTAGAGTTTAGATTTCATTGGAAACTTGCTTAACCCCTTAAAGGTACAGGCAAAATGTACACACATGTGCTTGTTTTTTTAACAGAAAGGATAACAACTCTCCTTAAATTATTTTAAAAAGTTTAAAATCATGATTTTAATGTTTGAAACTCATGATACTTATTTTCCAGCATAGATATTTACTAACTTAGTTTTCACTATACTTTGTTGACATCTACATGATAAATTTACATCTGGACGTACACAAGTGTCATCTGAAAATTTTTTTTGAAGATTTCTACAAAAGCCTCACAAAACTCTGTAAACCATATAATCCAAAACACAAACCTTTGCGGCTTTTCCAACTCGAGGCTTAAGTGGCAAATAATCTTCATCAGCAGGAAGCGCAACCTGTTGTCAAATTCCCAAAAAATTACAATCTATATTTGATATTCAACACCTCAAAATTTATAAAGATCTGAAAAATAGAAGTGATGAGCTACAATTTTCTTTCATTTTTATTTTGTTCCCAGGATGGTCTTAAATTTGTGAGCCCGAGCAATCCTCTCACTGCAGCTTCCTGAAATGCAGCTGGGATTGAATGCACAGGCCACTGTGCCCAGCTAGAATGTTTTGATAGTCCTTGGTACTGTAAAAATAAATACCTTTAGGAACAATCGAAAAAGTGAACTATAATATTCAAATACTACATACCTCTACTACCACTGGCCTAAGGGAAAAGTCACTGAAGATTTGGAAGGATGTACCCCTGCAGAAACTGCTGATTAAGGTCCAGCAGCTATCCTACTTATTTCCTGTATCAACTATGTTTACTGACATCAAACAGTTCTCAAAAAAGCTGGATTAACATATACGGAATGCCATCTTATGAAACAAAACAATATGGAATAAAATGATATTCTTTATAGCCTGGATCAGAAAATTAATTTTTTGTACTAAAGATTAAGACCTTGAATTCATAACGTAGTTAAAAGTCCCAAGACTTAAAAATATCAGCAATACTTACATATTTCTAATTCTCTGCAATAGGAATCTAGCTGGGCTGGCCAGATAGTGCAGTGGATTAAAGCATCTGCTCAGACAGACACGGGATGGGGTTTGACCATGGGGACCAGCTCCACCCCCAGGGCACACTGAGACAGTGACTGCAACTGAGCGTGGTGGCCTGTGCCTGTAATACAAGCGCTTGGGAGGCTGAAAACAGGAGGATCACTACGAGTCTGATCTGTGTAGTAAGACCCTATACAGACCCTATACTAAATATATAAAAAAAACTTAACCAATTAGCATATAAATAGCTTACAAGACCAAGTTAAGGGTCACACAGAAATTCAGTATCATTTCTGAAAGCAAAATTTCTATTAAGAAAACTGGGTACTAGCTGCCTTAGAAATAGTAAACTTGTGACTCAATTACAATCAAGATGACAGGACAGTTTCAAAAAGGAATGATTAAGAACCGACTATCATCAAGAACATAAATTATTTTTAATAATTTGAAGAATGTTTCAAATGAAATGTGATATTCAAAATGCAATCTATAAAGGAAAACAGAATTTGGTAGTTTATCTAGTAGACTTTTGAAAAATTAATTCATGAGTCTGTTGTTTCACAACTCAGCAAGGTAAATGAAAACTTCTGGGGATAGAATAGTTTTCATCAGTCTTTCCTTTAAGATAATTCCTCTAATAAGATTTCAAGAAACTGGAGTTATGAAATGTAATCCTCACATAGTTTAATAGTTGAGAGAATTACTTATCTATTAAATGTAAAGATATGAGATTCTTTTTGTTTTTGTACCAGCAACTAACTCAGGATCTTGCTCTGGCCAAGGAGGCACTGTGCTGCTAAGCTATATCCCTGGCCCAAGAAACAAGAATGTTTAGAACAATTCCACTAGCTCCTATACGTATGGTGAATATGAGAATACAATGGAGTATACAACCTTTGGTATAGTAACAAAGGCAATTTTCTAGATCTGAATGTGAAAGCTAGACCCAAAATGATGATGTGATTCCCACCATATGTGATCAACTACAGAGCCACGTATGTCTAGTTACTCAGCTGACCTCTATCACATCTCTCTTGACATTTTCCATGATATGAATAAATAATATCAGCAGTGAGCAGGTAAAAATTCAGTATGTCTGGACTTAACAACAAAAATTTATGTTTTTACATCTCCAAAACTAAGAGTTATGTTTTTATCTTTGAAGGGTCTGAGTAACACCATAAAAAGCAGAAAGCCACAGAGATGTTAGAAAAATAAGATAACCAGGAATATTCAGCAGGCAGTGCTGACGTTTGCCAGAACAATTTCAAAGAATTGAAGAGAAAATAGATAAAACTATACTAGACTGATTAAAAGATGAATGAAAAGTCAGGTCATTAGATAGTTTCTTATGCCAACAAAGATTTATGAGAAAGGATCAAGTCTTTTTTATCTTTTACTCTTTTTATTAGTACATAATAAAATGTACCTGGCTCTAAAGTATTTAATGAGTACAGGATCTCAAGATAAATCCTGAGAGGATTTCACTGACCTTATCAGACCCAAAAGCTACAACTCTTGTTCCCTAAGTCCTGCTTTACCTTGGTCTTAGCCATCCAGCAGAAAAGTATAAAAACGAATTTAAGAGGAAAAGCCATGCTGTTATGTTGAGCTGTAGGGGACTCAGGTCAACAATTTCTGACATTGCCAGTCAAGCGGAAGACCCAATACTATTATGGGCTACTGGACTCTTTTAGAATATTTTGCTGAGTTTACAACTATAATATTCAAATAACGGAACTTAACAAAAAAAAGGGGATACAGATGAATGTCCATTTTGTATCTGTGTATTCAAATGGCTAGGATTGATATACAGTTACATTCTCTTAATGAATAGAGGGATTTGTTCTAATGGTGTTTGTAAGTAGGATATCATGTCTGCATCTTGTACAGCAATTAACCACTAGGAAGAATGTATGCAATGTGTTAATTATTGAAACTGTCCTACCAATTTGGTTTGAAATATATATATATATATTTAATGAATAGCTACAACCAGGAGAAAAGAAAGCCAATACAGTGGCTAAAATGCAACCTAAATTAAAAGATGTTTTCTGTGTTCATATGTTGATTTAAAAAAGAAAAATATATAGAGAAAGAGATTCTAGTCAATGAAAAATGAAATTAACAAAGTGTTTATAGAGACGTAAGATACAACCAGGGAGACTGACAGAACAACCAGCCTTAGCCCACAAAGAGTGATGCCTTTTCCTTCTGGTGGATGTGAAAACAACAGACAAGGTTACAGTCAGAAGACAGTAAGCTGCTATCCTTAGCCTCTGTGAGAAGAGACAACATCACCAGAGAGAGAGACAGAGAGAGAGAAACAAATTGGCACACTTAAAGATAATGATGAGGTACAGAAAGACGTTTTGTCTCTTCAGAGCTGTCTTCCCCTTCATAGTCCAGAGCACTGAGCAGACTCTACACCACGTACTGAATGAGTGATCAAATGGGCATTATGCCTGGCAAACTAAGCGCTATATCTAAGGAAACACAGAAGAATGTTCATCACAAAAAGGTATTTTAATGAAGTTCTAAATCTGTATCAAAAGCCATTTTTATTAATTAGGAATTTCTCTGCTTATTTTACAGATTTAATTAAGATTCTCCAATTGCCTGCTGTAACTACTTGCTGTGAAGTTTTACTATAAGGACAAAAGGCTTAATAAAGTAGTAATATAATTTAAAATGATAAAATGAGTTTATACAAGACACTAATAAAAAGCTAGCTGAGCTAAAAAATAAAAACACAAAATATGAATGAACACTTTAGAGGATAATTAAGAGTCCATGAAAAGGTACAAACAGAAATTCAGGAAATTAAAGATTCTATAGAAAGTATAGGAAATAAGTAATCAACGTGGAGACACTGTCAGAACTAGAAGATAGGGCTGATGCAGGTGAATATAACTCATAGATACTTTAAAAACAATGAGGATATGAAGGGATCCAACAACTTCTAGATGAGACAAAGAAGAGTAAATTAAAATTAATTGGCATTGCTGAAAAGTAGAAACCTTAAAAGCCAGGAAAGCTTCAAATATAGTTGTTCAAACCCTAAAAGAAGAGAACTTCCAATCCGGAGTGACACATCCTGCAAAACTACCTTTTACAATTGACTGAGAAATAAGATATTTGCATGACAAAGAAAACTTTAAGAAATTCAAGACCATCAGCCAGCATGTTGACTATACAAAGAATCAAAAAATTAAACTGCCAGGGATAAAACACCCAATCAAAACATGGGCAAATGAAATGAATAGACAATAGTCAGAAGAAGTAGCAAAAATAGCAAAATCTTAAATGAAAAGATGTTCGGTATCTTTTCTGACTAGCAGAGAAATGCAAACTAAAACAACACTGAAATTCATACTTACTCTGAAAGAATTTCCATCATTAAGAAATCAAGTAATAAATGCTGATGAGGGCCAGACAAATAGCTCAGTAGATTAAAGCACCTGCAAGCAGGTACAGGGGCTGTGAGTTCCATCCCCGGGCCTGCCATGTAGGCCCTGTCCCCGGGGTGCGCTGAGATAGCAATTGAGACTGGGCATGTGGCAGGTGCCTATAATCCCAGCTCTCTGGGGGCTGTAAACAGGCGGATCACTACGAGTCCAATTTACTAATGAGACCCTGAACACCCTGTAGACCCTTCCCTTTAAAAAAAAAAAAAAAGTGCTGGTGAGACAACAGGGGAAAAAAGGAACTCTTCTATTTTATTGGTGGGAATGCACAGTATTAGTATAATCATAAGGAAATTCCTCAAAATACTGAAACTAGAAATTCCATTAAACCCAGCTATTCCCCTTCGAGGTATCTTCCTGAAAGAGATAAAGACAGCATACTACAGTGACACGTGCATTTGTATGCTTACAGGAACTGCTGTGTCACAGCTCAACTTACAACAGCTAAATCATGGAAGTGGCCTATATGTCCTTCAATGGATAAAGAAAATGTCCTATTTATGCACAATGGAATACCTCTCTGACATAAAGGAAGGTACATTTGAGTCATTTGTAGGAAAACGGACACATCTTGAAAACTGCTGAGTGAAATAAATTAGACACAATGAATGGGTTCAATTTATATGAGAAACAAAACATAAGAGCAAAATGAGACGTAACAGGAAACAGGGACACAGATCTTTTGCATAAGAGACAGGAAGGAAGATGTATCATACCCATGTATCAATTCCCCATGGATATAATCATTAAGTACTACAAATAAATTAACACATGCAGACACACACATGCCTATGCACATCAAGAAAATTAGTAAATCAGCATCTAAACCCAGGATTCGTAAGAAAATCCAGCTCTTCCATTAGATTATGTGTACCCTGCACAATCTCATTGTTTCTAAAGCCTTTAATGTTAAGCTGTTTGCTATTCACTTTACAAGACAGTATAAAAAAAATATGTTGATGTTAGCCTACTGTGTACTGCTTGTACTTACCTCATGTGTACATCCTTCAACGGTTTCAACAGACTGTACCTTAACCCTGGGCATCAGATCTGCCAAACTTAAAAAGAACGAATAAAATGAAACACAAATTTTTTTTCTAGGGTATATAATAATCCCCCCAATCTGTATTATAATAAAATTATATTGGCCAGTTATCAATATCCCAAACTGGCAAAACCTTACGTATTAAGAAACTTTGTCACATATTCATATACAGTACATGCTAAAAATTCAAACTACTTGGGTAACTTCTTTCATTATGATTACAAAATAAACAATCAAACTGATCATTCAAAAATTATGTTAAGCTTAGTTCTAAGAACTATTTTGAAAAACAAGTTCTATAAAGTACCATTATGATTTCGAAAGGAAGCTATGTATAAAATTCATCATACAACAGAGTATATAAAAGTCTAATTTATATTATGCTGTAACTTCAAAGCATTCTTGTTCTCATCAAAATTCTACATTATGGGGCTAGCGAGACAGCACAGCAGATTAAGTGCCTGCTTGGCAAGTAAAGGGACTGGGGTTCGATCTCCAGCACCACATGTGGCGCTGCCCCTGCCCGCCGGGCACTCTGAGTCAGCCACCAAGTCCAGGAGTGGTGGTGCATGCCTGTAATCCCAGGACTGCAGGGGCTGAATACAGGAGGATCACTACGAGTCCGAGCTGTGTAGTGAGACCTGTACCAAATACGTTAAAAAAAAAAAAAAAATTGTACATTACAATTGTCCACCTTCTCCAATTAGACTCTTGAGAGATCACAACTGTGAAGAAAATTAGATGTGTATTTCTATGCTGGATTAGTTATTTTCTTACCTAATATACTTCTGACCCTGTGCTCACTCCTGCAGCACATAAACTGCTGATACTTAAAAGTCAGTAACTACAGTTTGGATAAGCCAAAAGTTACAATACGTAAAAAGATTTAAACTACCAGTATTACTCTGTAATCTATTATAACAGCTTCAGTAAGTGGTACATGTTAAATATTTCAATGACACACCTTTCAGCATTTACAGTAGATAATCTTATTAGGTGTAACAATAGCTGTTTAAAAAAGAAAACAGAAAACATCATGACACCAACAAGAGTATAAAAGGAAAAAATTACAAAGATCATTATAACAGGATCAGATCAACTAAAAATACTGGTATCAACTCTAAGAAGTTATAACTTTCCAAAATCCAAGAAATGCCAAGAGCAGAAAATATCCAGCTACAGACACCTTGAATTTTCCTCAGTGACAAGTGCCTTGAGATTCATAACCATTCTACTGCTACATAGAACAATGAAAATCTAATTCCTTCTCACATTCCTTCCATTGGCTAAGTTTTACTGTTTCCTTTTGTTCTACTCCCTCCAGTGCTTGACTTGGCAGCACATATACTGAAATATTCCTCCAGTGATCATCTTAAGATATTAACAAATACATTTAAAAAATCAATTTCAAGGCTCTCAAAATTGCATTCTAGGGCTGGGGAGATAGCTCAGTAGAATAAGCGCCTGCCTGGCAAGTGCAAGGGCCTGAGTTCAATCCCTGGTACAAAAAAAAAAAAAAAAAAAAAGGATTCTAAAAAATCAAAAGATAAAGCATTTTTACAGTGTTATCCAGTTGTCTAACCTTATATTTTATTTTCAAAATTCTAATTACTAAAAAATGTGAACAACTCTTAAGTTAGAGTGCAAAATCAAAGCACCTTATTGTTTTAAAGATGCAATAGCAAGGAAGTATAAACACATCCACGTTTAGTTATTTGTGTGGTAGATAAATGCCATTTAAAAACATTTTTAACAGGAAAAACAGATTTATAAGTCAATTTACAGAAAATAAAAAAAATCAATGTGCAATATAACTTTAACTATCAACAACTGAAGGGGAGGAAACTGCCTTTTGTTTTTCTGTTTCTGCCTCTGTATCTTCTGCTCATTGCTTTTTGGAACAAACTGCATGGTCCTAAGGCTGCCATCTTCTTGGACGAGGACAAAGGTCAAGACCTTCCTTTATGTAACCTCTTTCCATACAAGTCTGGATGTAAGGAAAACCAGCTTCCCAGAAATTCTCTGGTGTGTTGGGTGGAATACAGCGAAACTGGTGTCTTGAGCAGGAAGCCAGTTTCTTGTCTCTTTCTGCTACTGGCATGTCTGCATAATGAATTTACATTCCTTACATGTATGCCCAAGCAATTTTCTTTTCCATGTGTTCAAGGACACTTGAACCTTTTAATTAGTAAAACTAGTAACTACTTTTATAATTCTGAAACACCACAATATGAGGAAAATTTCATAGGCTAGTGTCTCTCATTATCTTTAAAATATGGCTCTACAAATGCCTTCTGCTTGACTTTATCTTGTTTGTCATTATGTACAATACAACTGGTTCCTTTATGGCAGCAGATAATTCCTCCAATTCACTTACCACCTGAGAGAAACTGTCTGCCAAACAAGATTTGCATTCTTCGTGTGTTGTCCGATCAAACATATCTTCCAAGGTATCATTTATCTTTCTTTCTCTATTTGGACTTCTTTCTCCTTTTTGCTCTTGTTTCTTCACCTTTATAAGCAAACTTTCACTGACCAATGCACAGTCCATGTCTGCTATCTCTCCTCCTACTCCTGACTGTCATCCTTTGTGTCTATTCTAGTAATATCTGTTTTATACAGAGAAAGGCCTGCTCCTGGACCTACACTCCACTGGATATTTTCAAAGGATGCATCTTGGTTGTTGTTAGGCTTTGTCTTGGCAATTCTGCAAGGACTTAATTGAAAAATGTGAGCTCACATTCCCCATGGACTGATGTGGTTTTTACTTTTGTTGGCTCATTAGAACAAGCACCCTTCATATCAGCAAAAAAATTCTCGGGGCTCTAAAGTTAGATGTGGACATGGACAGTTGTCTAACCTTAAATGTTCTACATTTATAGGCTTCTATGTATACATAAACATTTTCATTTCACCAACTTAGCAAACATTATTATGAAGATCAAAACAGAAGCAATTTTTACAACTTTATGCAATCCCCAAATACAGACTTACTAACATTTATGACTATGGAAATATTACCTTAGATCTTCAGTTATTGACTCTTCTATCCTGGGTCTTTTTCCAAAAATGGGTTCATCTGTGCCTTCAAAATCTGTATCCCTCTTGTTTTTTCCACTATTAGTTAACTCTGATGGCAATTTACCATCAGAATGTTTCCTAGAAAGTAAATAGTTTAGAATTCTGTTGGTTAATATAAAAGAAATGCCATAAAATATTGTTCCTTTCATTATATATACATTCATCTTTTAAATACATGAATATTTCAAAGCAAGCAAAAGCTCAGGACACTTGAACCTTTTAATTAGTAAAACTAGTAACTACTGTTATAAAATTCAGTTTTACGGAAAGATTGTGATCTGGGTCTGAAATGTCTCCCAAAGGCTCATGCGTTAAAGGCATGATCCTCCATGCAGCAATATTCATAATGGGGCTTTGGGGAAGAGATTAGATCATAGGGCTCTAGTCTCGTCAACATATTAGTTCACTGACAAGTTGATAATGTGATGAACTACTGGGAGGTGATACAACCTTAGGCAGGATCCAGTTTGTGTGCACAGGAGTAGGGGGTGGGGCGTATCATGTGTTCAGCTTCCTGTCCCCCACCTTTCCCTGCTTCATCATGTGTTCAGCTTCCTGTCCCCCACCTTTCCCTGCTTCATCATGTGTTCAGCTTCCTGTCCCTCACCTTTCCCTGCTTCCCGGCCGTCATGAAACAGCCTCCTCTACCAGCACTCCTACTGCCAAGGAACTCTGCCTCACCTCAGGCTCCAGGGCTTATTTATTTATTTATTTATGTCTTCATTTGGTACAGGGTCTCCCTATGCAGGTAGTGATCCTCCTATCTCAGCCTCCCTAGGCCACCACACTCGGTTTCGGTGGCCAGGTCAGTGCCTGGGGTTGGCACGGCACACAGTACCCAGTATCAAACCTGGGTACTTGCGCTTCCCAGGCAGGTACTTAGACCACCAAGCTATCTTCCCAGCCCCAGGCTTCAGTTTTAATGAAATCAGGCAAACATGGATTCAAACCTCTGAAATGGTGAGCTCAAATAAATCTTTCCTGCTGAATATTGATTTTCTTGGTTATACTGTTATAACAATTGAAAGCTGATTTACATTGGAGTCTTTAAAATATTTTTAAAATTTATATTAATAGAAATATCATAAACTTAATTGTTAAAGCATTATGCATTCACATAAACATCTTTAATAAACATTTAATGCTTTTTCTAGTAACATGGAGGAAATTTTTGTGTATGCGGCTGGCCTTGCTGGATCACGCAGTAGCAATAAAAGGATGTTTAATGGGCTAACTATCCATAGAGAAACATGAATCTACTCATTACCTTCCACATAAGAAAAAAACCTATTCTACATGAATTTTAGGTCTAAGTGTGGAAGGCAAAAATAACAAAGACTCTAGAAGATAAACTCAGAAAATCTTTAAGATTTGTTAGGCATAAAATTGCTAAAATATAAAAGTATGATTAAATTGGCTTGCATGAACATTAAGAATTTCTGATTACTACAAGGCATAATTAAGAAAGTAAAAGAAACTAGAATACTACTCCAACACACACAAAGATGAACTTGAGGCATTTTTAGGTAAATGGACACATCTTAACACTATAATTCTAAGTGAAACAAATCAGACACACAAGTTTATCATATTGTTTCTCTTGTGCAAGAAACTGAAAGTGTAACTAAGAAGCAAAATGGAAGATAGGTGTTAGGAGGTAATGGGAAAGGGAACAAGGGGTAGGAAGGAAAAGGGATTTAAAGAAAAGATGAAATAACTGACAGAGCTTTTGTAAATGGGGAGGGGAAGAAGGTCTGGAGAGAGAGGACAGGGACAAGAAACAGAATTAAGACCTGTTATGTACAATTCCCCCGTGATGAATATGATCATCACTAACAGGTACTAAAAAAAAAAAAAATTTAAAAGAGACAAGACAAAAAATATGCATACCTATAACTGAAAAAGGCATGCATCTCAAATCCTGAAGGTAAGGAGTACAAACCAAGTTTTTAAAAACACACAATCCATAAAAAGTGATGAAAAGTGTTAACAGGAAAGTTATAAGAAAGGGTATCCAAAAGATTGACAAGTACACAAAAAGGAGGTGAACAGCACTCCTAACCAGGAAATGTACATCGGGTAATACAAGGTCAGGAGCGGAAATGTTTTGGTTTTTAGTACCCTTTCCCAGTCTTAAAAATTATAGAGGATTCAAAAGAATTGTGCTTAGGTGATTTTATCTATTAATATTTACTCAGAATTAAAATTAAAATTTAAAAGTACTTCAGACATGTGGGACAGCAGCTCACGGCAGAATACTGCACACTCAGGCCTGCATTTAGGCCCCAACACCACCTCCCATTACTCATTAATTTGTCTAAAATTGGGAACAGTTTTTATGTTAAAAAATAACTTTTACAAGAATGTTTTAAAAATAAGAATAGCACTTTTATATTCTTGTAAATCTCTGTGATCTGTCCCTGCATTTAATTTGATGTGATATACTATTTTAGCTGAAATTTATGAAGAAAAGCTCAGCCTCATACAGGTACATAATTGAAAAAGGCAGAATATTTTAATAGACTTCAGATAATTGTGGCTTTTCCTCTAACCTCATACAAGAACTCAATCACACTTTTTGAAAGCCACTGCTAGAGCTACTAAACACATTTTATAGTTTAAATTTTGTCAGCAATACTCAGCCAAAGCCAAATATAAAATAATTTGTGTGTGATTTTATTTATATACCTTAAGTCACAAATGGTAAAACTACATTTTGTCATAAGTCATTCCTTTAAAAAAAAAAAAAATTCAGTAAAGTGTCTACAGAGTCTCACTACATAGATCAGACTCACAGTGATCCTTCTGTTTTTAGCCTCCCAAGTGCTGGGGTGACAGGCACGCATGCCACCATGCCCAGTCTCCATTGCTGTCTCAGTGTGCCCTGGGGCCAGGGCCAGCATGGGGGTGGAGGGGAGGATCAACCCCAGCCACTGCGCTGTTCCTAAGCCTGCACTTTAGCCCGCAACAGTCATTTTTGTGGGACATAACAGGTTTGTGTAATATTCTTTTTTTCCTGAGTAAGGACTGTGTATGTTCATAACATAAAAACTCATCCCATGACCTGCATGTTTTTCTAGGCATGTTCTACTCGCTTTAAAAAAGGAACAATACACAATAGTGTTGATCTACATGCTTAAACAACCTTTCCAAGTTGAAGATTTCTAAAATTTAAAAACTTTGTTGCTTCCCATTCCCTAGATCGGTTGCTGATTACTGATGTGGACTTCCTTTGGATAAGCCATCAATATCCTTAGTCCTCAGAAAAATAATACAGTTCGATAATAATTGTATTATCTTTCAGTTCTACTATTCTAATATTCTGAGTAAGCATCAACTCATCCACTGTACTTAAAATAATTCTACAAGGATCTAGAGAAAACTAGTTCCCAAGCTTTAAAAAAAATCATAGTGGAACATTTTCATTTAGAACACCTAGTAATTCTTTGTTTTTCTGGGTTTTTTTCCAAAATATATGTTTGTAGTACATAATGATCAAATTTCTTGTGGAGTTGGTATCATGTATATGACACTTTTGTTTTTTAAAATCCCCCTTTCTACCCCTCCCTCCATCTCTTCAATCACCTTCCTGAATGTGCAAAGATTATCTTGCGAAGATTAATTTATTATTCTTTAATACTGTGTGTTAGACCTCTAGATCTCCAGTTTTGTTTTGTTTTGGTTTTTTTTGGGGGGCGGGGAACATTTATGAACATGCACAGCTAAAACATCTAAGTTATCCAGAAGCAAGTCATATACAGGTAAACAATTTATTCTTTTTTTTAAAATTTTATTTATTTGTGGGGGGGGCAGCTCAGCCCACCAGGGGGCGGGGCCGGCTGGCATGTGGTGCTGGGGGATTGAACCGCGGTCCCTGTGCTTTGCTAAGCTTGTTCTAAGTAGGTGCTTTAGACCACTGAGCCATCTCACCAGCCCCAACAATTTATTCTTAAAAAAGGTTTTGACTTACTGAAATTACCTAAAAATGCTATTTCTGGAAATCCATGAGGACAGAATACTTCTCTTCACAGTACCAGAAAGGGCACCAAATTTGTCAATGTTAACTACATTCTATTTTTGGAGGTGGTACCTGGGATGGGATCTAGAGCTCACACATGTAAGTGTTCTACCACTGAGCCACATGCTTTTTAAAAATAAGTTTTATTTTGAGACAGTCTTGTTAAATTGCCTAGGCTAGCCTTAATGGACATTACAAGCATGAGCTATGGCACCAGACCCAATTTCCTTATTCTGATCATTGTAATGTGTATTGTGGTCATGTAAAAGAACGCCCTTACTTTCAGAAAATACACACTTAAGAATTCAGAAGAAAATTGGCAACATATCCAACTATTCTTCTACACAACTGAAAAAAAATATAAACACAAGAACATACAGACATATAAATGCATGTGAATGTGCATGCATAATGGGAAAAGGAGGAACAGAGGACAAAACAAACATGAGATATTTAGGTGAAAAATGTACAACGGTTAATGCCATCCTAAGAATTTTTCCAAGCACAAGTTATCAAAGACTTAACAGGATCTTATTAAAAGTTCACAAAAACAGAGCCAGAGGGAAGAATAAGCACCTGCCTAGAAAGCACAGGGTTCTGAGTTCAATCCCTGGTACCACAAAAAAAAAAAAAAAAAAAAAAAGTTCACAGAAGCCAATTTGAAGGGTTTTCACTGATTTCTGATTAGAAATCCAAGAATCACCAGTCATGATGGAAGTCAGGATGATGGCTCACACATGTATTCCCAGACTATGAGAGGATCCCAAGTTTGAGCCCAAGCTGAGCAAGTTTCAGATTCTGTAAGACCCTATTTCAAAATTTAAAACAGAGGCTAGAGAGGTAGCCCAGGGCAAATGCCATGTGCTCAATTTCCACCACTACACAATGAGTAAGCAATTTTAAAAAAAGAAACAACCTGCAGTTCCATTAGTGGGTAAAGGCATAAATAAATAAATCTGATACATCCATAAAACAGAATACTACTAAGTAATAAAAAGAACACATCATTGATATATGCCTCATGAATGAATCTCAAAATACTTAGTAAAACCCAGGCAAAAGACACTGTACTTAAACAAAATTTTAAATATTGTTGAATTTAAGTACAACTCTAGAAAATGCATGCTGCTCTACAGCTGACAAATCAGTACTTCCCTGAAGCAGGGATAAAGATAGGGATACAATAGCAGGTACAAAGAAACTTCTAGAGGTAATGGAAATATATCACTTCTGGAAAAGTATAGTTTAATGTTCAATTACATCTAAGGAAATAAGTCAAGTCAGGAGAGCACAATTCTTAGGGTACAACTTAGTTCTCACACTTACAAAGAGAAAGAATCAAGCATCTGCTTTCTTTTTATGAACTTTATTTCAAAGTAAACCAATAGCTAATGAGGCAATAGGTATGTGTTTGCTTGTGTCAGGGACTATGTAGTTCAAACCAGGCTTGAACTCACTATATAGTCCAGGCTGGCCTTGAACTCGTGACAATCCCCGTCTTATTCCCCTGAGTTCATTAAAGGTATGTGCCACTATGCCCTGCTTAGGTAACAGGTAAGCTGTTTTTTTTTTTTAAGATTTCATAAATAAGATACAAAAAGAAAAACAGAAACATACCACTTTGCAGCTATTAGTAAAAGAACAGATCCAAGCAATTGTTAACACATGATAAAATCCTTACAGGAATGTTTGATGAGAAATCAAGGCAGACACCATTTTAACCAATCAGTCAATCTTGGTGTGGAACAGACACCCTTCATCTTACAGAGAAATAAGTCTGAGGTATTCTCCTTTAAAACAACTGAAAGTGAATCTATCATAAAAAAGACTCCAGATCAGCACTGTAAAATATGTATGTATAGTTAGGTAATGCAAGATGTGTATGTACTTTAAAATATCTGGGCCGGGGAGATGGCTCAGTGGAATAAATGCTTCCCTGGCAAGTGCAAGGACCTGAGTTCTAATCCTCAGTTCTACCAAAAAATAAAAATAAAAATAAAATTTCCTAACCATATTATTTAAAAGCTAGTAAGTGAAATAAATTTTTAAGTATTTTACTTACCCATATACAAAAAATACTATCATTTCAATCATAATCAAGATTTAAAAATGGAGGCCACGTATGGTGGCACACACCTCTAATTCCAGTATTTAGGCTACAGCAGAAGGATCCCTGTGAGTATGAGGCTACCCTGGGATCCGTAGTGAGCTCAAGGACAGCCTGAATTATACAGGGAGAGGATCTCAAAAAAAAAAAAAAAAAAAAAAAAAGATGAGGGGCCGGGGAGATGGCTCAGTAGAATAAGCGCTTGCCTGGCAAGTGCAAGGGCCTGAGTTCAATCCCCTGTTCTGCCAAAAAAAAAAAAGATGAAACCAAGTAATTTTACATTTTCTCATATAAAATTATCTCTGACAAGCCATACTTTAAGTGATATAATCATTAATTGTCATAGGTAGTGACATATTGAGCAACGTGGGTCCAGAAACAAGGCCTATTTACATAAAATAATGGAGGCAAAGAGGAGTAAGTTAAATGATGTAATGAGTTAATAAGTTAAAACACTAAAATGTAGGAAACTCTTTAGAACAAATAAAGTGGTTTGACTTTTCTATAATTTCTTTTTTCCTTGTGGCATTTTGTTTGAAAGAGTAAAAGGCCAAACCTGCAGGATAACAACTAAAAAAGTGTAAAAGCTTTGTTTAGATCCTGATTCAAGTAGACAATCTACCAAAACACTTTTGAGACAAGAGGAAAAGTCTCATTGTGGATTGAGTAATCATTTTTGTTGGAGGAGACAAATGCTGACATACTAGGGGGAAAAAAGATGAGTAATACCTTGGTTTTAATGGGGGTAATGTATGTGGAGCCAGACCTGATATTGTTGAAGCAGTTACATGTAAGCACATGGAATTTCTTTACACACATATGCACATAACCCCCCAACACATGTGTGTATAGTTTAACAAAATCTTTGGGTTTCTGTGGTTGTTGTTTTGTTTTTGAAAATATCCATTTGGAATGAAGTATTAAATGGAGGACAAGTTCTGATAAAGTTCTATGATTTGCCCTCTTGTGTTACACAGATTAGACAGAAATTCACTCTATGCATAACGACTGTCATGCAAGTATTAATACCTGAAATCAGGTGAACTGGATTATTTTTCCTAAAGTGACTACAGAGATAGTGAACCTCTTAGAGCTTTCAATGCTAACAAACACCTGTCACTACTGACCTGGAGGGAAGGACTCGCTAAAATGAATTCTTGATAGTAGGCAAAGTCCCATTACTAATGTTCTATACTTCTTACATATACCCTTTCTCTAATTTTGGTGTTTTTCCTAAGAAGTTAAGTATAAGTTATTTCCACCTAAATTTGGAAGTTTTTTAAACAGCTTATTCTTACCGCACTGCCAACTAGAATAACCTCATCACAATAATTCTGACATAAAGAACAAAATGAGAATACATAACATACTGTCCTCAAACTATAGCTGTCCAACTAAATACTTGGCAACTATTAATAATTCCTGTTGTGGAGGAAGGAAAAAAATAATCTGTCATCCTTTCTCACTTTTCCCCAAAAGTTCCTGCAAACTCTTTTTCAACTCAATGGCAGCAGAGTGTTATCCACTTCGTTTATATGGGACATCTCACTTCTCATTTTTCTGCTATTCCTCTACTTAGTCTTATATTCTTCTCTATAGATTCTATGTTTAAGTTCACTTAAGTTCCCCACAGTCATCTTCAGCCACCTCTGAAAAAGCTCCACCTATGACACATGAGGCTTTTTTGGGGACAACTAAACACAAGCCATAACAACTTATTTTCTATCAGTATTCTCTTGCAATATAATCTGCCAACTACTACCAAGTTAGCTTTCCTAAACCACCAATTTAGGAAGCTAGGGGGGAAAAATTTTTTAAAACTTTGTTCAAAAAAGTTTAAAATGAAATCAAAACTCCTCTGCTTGCTATTCAATATTCAAGACTCCTCTAAAATCTAAAACCAACACATGAATTTATTTTTAAGGATTTTGGTTTTTTACTGTTGACATATCTTTGCCATACATAAGAATATTCACCTTGGAGAATTGGTAGGTACACTTAGGAACCACATCTTGATAATTTTTACTTCCACTTCCCTCACTAACTCTACCCTTTCCCCTTTTCTAGCTCTCCTTCCCAACCACACAAAATCTGTTTCCTTCTATTTCTTTTATCGTGTTGTTTACGTTATTTATACCTTAGGTTTTTCATCTAGGAGAAACGAGGAAATACAGACCCTCCGATTTATTTCACTTAGAATTATGATCTCAATATCCATACATTTTCTTACCAATGAGTTGAATTTACCCCTCTTCATGTCTGAGTATTCTGTGTAAAAATGATATAGTAAAAGCAACATTTTTCATATTCTTACCTCAATAATACAAAAGGAAACACCCTCCTTTAGCCTAATTTGTGCTCTAAAAAATTTTGTCACCATTTACTTAACAATTTCTCAATCCAGAATATACTATTGCATCTAACAGTTTCCTGAACATTTCAAAAAGGAATCTCCTTTTCCTCAATTTCACACACTACTTAATATTACCTAATGCATACTGTAACAACTTCACTATTAACAACTTAAATTTTAGCGTTCTTATCTCTTTACTCAAAAGTGTCTTGAAAGCAAAATCATGCCTAGTTTAATTGATTCACCTAGTGGGTATCTCTCTCCACAATGCACAATAAATTCATTCATAACGAACCTCCTGCCTTTACCTAAAGTCAAGCAATAGCTTTTCTTTGTTCTATACACGGCTCTGCATTTTATGGCGACCACACGGATTTCAGGGTCCAGTAATTCTTAAGTTTCTTTAAGCAAGCTCACCCTATCTAGCATTTAACTTCACAACGCGATAGGTATCGCTAGCGTTTCACACACGATCTCTTTTAATCCTCACATCAGCCCTAGCGGTAAACATAGTTGAATCTCCACTGTAGGGACGAAAAAGCTACAGCTTCAACGTAAGATTTCTCTCCTTTATTTCCTTTTGCCCTTTCCTCTCCGAGATGCCTTCTTCTAAATTCGTTCTCCTCCAAGAGCACCCTTGCGGACCCTCGCTGTCCTCCGCCAAACACGGGAGCGCCGCGGCCGCAGCTCACGCTGCCTCCCGACAAGCACCAGGAAAAGCCCACAGCCCGTGTTTTCCAACCAACATTCTAACACAAAAACCACCTACAGGACTCCCTTACCCGCCCTTTTCTGCAGACCCTGGCGGTCCTTTCCATTTCCCCTTCTCTTTTTCTTTGTCTTTCTTGGCTCCGGCTTCAGCAGTGGAGTCGTCTTCGAACACGCTGAAAAGCTCGTCCCCAAAAGCATCCGCCATCTTTCAAAGCGCCCAGGCCGAACCTACGTCCTACCCATAGTGCCCCGCGACCGCACCGGCAGTGACGCCAAGTGAAGGCGCCACGGTGGCCCGTAAGAGTCAAAAGTAATCAAGTCTCAAGGCCACCTGAGTTTTTCTGTTTTGTTCGCGCTCTTTGAGTTTTTTGTTTTTGTTTCTGTTTTTCCTGTCCGATTACTGGTAGGCAGGCAGGTCAGGACCCAGGGAGGATACTCTACGCACCGCCCCAAGCACGCGGCACGTTCCAGAGGGTGGGGAAGAGTATAGGCAGGGGGCGGAGTCTGGTAAATCAGACCAATTGCGGAGCAGCAGTCCCGGAGCCCGGATGGAGCGCCCTTGCTGGCTGCGCTGGACCTGGGGCACCTGTGCGAGAGCCCGAGCGTGGACGTGCGAGAGTCACCTGCCACAGCTGTAGCATGGGTGGCAAGAACAAGAAACACAAGACCCCGGGGGCCGCGGCGGTCCGGGCCGCCGTGTCTGCTTCCAGAGCCAAATCTGCGGAGGCCGGAGCTGCCGGGGAAGCCCAAAGCAAGAAGCCAGTGGCCAGGCAGTCCCCCGCCGGCGCAGCCAGCGCCCGGGAGCCCCGAGTCAAGCAAGGTACACGCGGTCGCGCGGCTCCTAGCGCTGCGTCCTGAGATCTTGTTCCGTCTCCCGAGGAAAGCCTTCAAACCCGCCGAGACCCTTGGGCTCAAAATTGGTTTTTCCCACACCCGGGGCTGCTGGCTCTCCAGGGGTGGCCTTTATGAACGCGGGTCTAGGTGTGTTAGGACCCCAAAGTTCTGCTGGTGGTCCTGTTGCAAGTTGGCATCTCCCTGATGATCACACTTTTCTCCTTGCAAGAACACATACAGTACGTTTCTGCCACGATGTAGTTCCTCTGTGTTCCGGAAAAAAGTCAGTACTTAATACGAAATACAGTGTTCACTGCACATGGGTGTGACCGATTTTTAAATTATCTACTGTTTTCTGCAGCCTTGCATTTTTTGCTTACTCTGCCAATTGGTTTGCTAACAGAGATGACCGATGCCTGCTGCAGATGAAAATTGTGTGCTTTTCTTGCGTTGTTTGCGTGTTGTTCTTACTGGGGTGTTCATCACCAAGTATTAAGCGTGTGTGTGTGTATACATATATATGTACGTATGTACAGATATTTGCCATATGTCTAATACGATGTGGGAAATGAGATGAACAAAACACACAATAGTTTTTAGGCAACTTGCTAGACTAATATTGGAAATAGGAGGTAGCTAATCCCACAAAATGTACTGGTTTGTACTTGATAAATACCACAAAGAAAATCCTGAGAAGAGTTAAACAGGATAACCTAATATTTACTGGGTAATAGCAGAAATGATGAATGGCCTGAGAAAGTGACAGTTAAGATGACAAGGATGGTGTGTTAGTCACGTTTCTCTGGTTGCTGGGACAAAATACCCGACACCCAAATTAAGAAAGGAAAGGTTGTTTATTTAGCTCGCAGCTTGCAGCTCAGCCGGTTTCCACAGTCGCCTCCAAGGCAGGGTGGCGTGGCACAGGGGCACAGTTGAAGGTGACAGAAGCAGCAAGAGGTAAAGGGGGAGTGCACCCCTCTTTTTCTCCCTCACATTGTAAGCTGGCTATCCCACCCGCAGGGGCAGGACGGGCGTAGCACCCACACTGTCTCCCTGCTGTCCTCTTGCACAGGCTGGGCATGTTTATGAAGTGAGGATCCTGACTCCCTGCGAGTGGATTAGTTAATCTCCTAAACTCAAGTTGCCTCAATGTATGAACATCACCGCTGGGAGGGGTTAACTTTGTAGACCATTGGCGAAAATAGCACACTGAACAAGGAGAGTTGAGGACGGTATGTAAAGATCTTGAGTCAAAAAGAGCTTGCGGGTCTTGAAGGGGTCATAAAATACCAACATTGCCAAAGAAAGAAAAGGTATGAGACTGGATAAATAGACAAATACCATTTTTTAATTTAAAGATTGGATGACATCTCTTTTTGTTTATGTGCTTGGGGTGTTTTTGTTTTCGTTTTTCAGAAACAGAGTCTCACTTTGTAGCCCAGCCCGGGAGGTCCCCCGCCTCAGCCTTCCAAGGGCTGGGATCACATGTGTACGCTACCACTCCAGCTTAGATAGTACTTCTTTACTGTGCAGTTTGTTGTAATCTTTCAACTACAGAGTTATTGTGCTTGTAGTTACATGGAATTTCTCTTTGACTATTCTGTGGCAGTTTTACTCTTTTTTTTTTTTTTTCCAGTTTTACTCTTGATCAGCATCAGATGTACTTTCTGTTTGTCTCTTACAACATTTGTCTGAATTCTTTGCATTTTCTGATAGCTATTTGTTGTCTTCTTTGGCTTTTCTTTCCTCCAGTCCCCACACGGGACCCTTTCTGAAGGTGTCCTTGGCAGTGTAGTTTGCAGGAATCGCCCTCTAGGAGAGTTCATCTAGTTCTATTATTCCCGTCTTCTCCATCATGGCTAACTTGACAAGCAGCACGTACCAGTCTTGCTTCCAAGTTCTAGTCGGGTTTCAACGTTCATCTGGATGGTTTGCCATTGCCTTCTTTTTTGTAAGCATGTCTAATTTAACATGACTGATACTACACCAGTTTTCACCCCTTCCTTTTTTTCCTGTTTTTACACATTCCTGTGTGTCGAAGATCAAACGTACTTTAAATGCTTTCCCCTCTTCCCTCCGTTCAGTCTGTGACCATGACTCTGTGCACTGTTCATGCACGAATCCTTCCTTTACACCCGCTCACTTTTTACATGTGGTTGGGCTGGGGAGATAGCTGTGTGGCCTGAGCACCTGCCTGGCAAGCTCAAGGACTTGGGTTCCATCCGCTGGTACCACATGTCATGCCAAATAATTAAACAAAAGATTTAAAAAGGGGCCGGGGAGATGGCTCAGTAGAATAAGCACTTCCCTGGCAAGCGCAAGGGCCTGAGTTCAATCCCTGGTTCTGCAAAAGAAAAACCAAAAAAAAGATTAAAAAAGAAAAAAAATTAAAAGAAAAGAAAAGAAACATGGTGGCAACTCCCACGAATCCCTGCAGTACCAGCAGCCCTTTAATGGTCCTCTAGCTTTGTTCTTTCTTCCTCCTCCAGTCTTTCCAGCCTGCCAACATCAGATTGCTCTTCCAGAGTGCTGCTTTGGTTGTGCCTCTTGCCATTTCTCCCATAGCATCCTCACTGACCTCATACTAAAATCCAGCCACTCAGCTACCATGGAAGTCCCTCTTTCCAGCCTTTTTACGAATCCGTATTTTCAGCTATAGCAATCTGGTGTGTCTCCATTACTCCAAATGAAACTGTCAGCTTACTGTAATTTGCTCTTCATGACATGCTGGCTATCTGTAACACCAGCTACCCAAATCCTATGATACTCTCTTTGGGTAGCATCTGCTTTTTTTTTTCTTTTACTTTCTGTACCATAGATCAAATCTCAGGGCATTCTATGAATGAAGTATATTCCCAGGGTTGTAAATTTTTTGTTTTGAGAGAGGGCCTTGCTAAATCACCCAGGCAGGACTCAGACTTGTGATTCTCTTGTCATCAGTCTCCCAAATACTGGGATTCCAAGTGTGTGCTGCTGTCCCCGGCTACCTCCTGGGTGAACTGTCTCCGCTATGCAGAACCTGTGTGTCATGGTTGTTGATGTCATTCTTTTTGAGAGTTAGGTCTTGCTCTGTGGTAGATGAGGAACTACACATTTTATACTTCCTACAGAATAGTAAGGATGTAATGAGAATGTGTTAACATCTAAAAATTCTTTGGATAAATAGTAAAGAAGAATTCAAAGGAATTATTTTTTTTCTTTTAAAAAGAATAGAATTGGGGCTGGTGAGATGGCTCAGTGGTCTAAAGCACCTACTTAGAACAAGCTTGGCAAAGCACGGGGACCGCGGTTCAATCCCCCAGCACCACATGCCAGCCAGCCCCGCCCTCTGGTGGGCTGAGCTGGCTACACACACACACACACACACACACACACACACACATAAATAAAAAATTTTAAAAAAAAAAGAATAGAATATGTTAAAATGACATAGAATTTCAAAACAAGATGATAGGAAGTCAACAATGGTTGTTATGTTGCGTATTATCTTCGAAGTAGTTGTTCAGATTACCAAATAGAAACATGCAAATTGGTCAAAATTAAGCATAAATTATTCATTTTAATAAAGCAAGAGAAATTAGTAGTACAGAGGGCTGGCGAGATAGCTCAGCAGATTAGAGCACTGACTTAGGCTGACACAGGGACTGAGGGTTCCATCCCCACCCTGCTGTGCCTCCCCTGCCCCGGGGGATGCACTGAGACTGCAGCAGTCCAGGCTGGGTGTGGTGGCCCGCTCCTGTAATCCCAGCGCTTGGGAGGCTGAAAAACAGGAAGGAACACTAGAGTCTACACTGTGTAGTGAGACCCTATAGACCTTGTACTAAATCCATTTAAAAAAAGAGAAAGTAGTGCAATTAAGTAGCAGTACAATTACCTTAGCTATCTTGTGTGTGTGTGTGTGTGTGTGTGTGTATATAAATACGTATACATATGTATAATACATATAAATATGTATATATTATATTTTTCCCCTTTTTCCTTTCCCTTGTCTCAATTGTTCTTTGCTTTTGAGCATTGTCTTTCTCTTTCTTTGTACCTTTCAGGTTCTTACACTAGGGAGACAATGTGACGTTTACACATGCAAATTAATTTATTTCACTTACAAGTATGGTCTCTAGTTATTCATATACCTATAAAAGCCTCGAATTTATCTTTCTTTATAGCTTAGTAATACTCCATAATGTAAAAATACACCTCTTTTTTATCCATTCCTCAGTTGATGGGCATTTGGGTTGTTTCCAAGATTTAACTATGACAAATTGCACTGTTCTAAATACGGGTGCACATATATCACTGTGGTATGATATTTTCAATTCTTCTGAAAAAATCCCCAGAAGGGATATAGCGGGGTCTAATGGGACCTCTAATCCTAGCTTTTTGAGGAATCTGCACACTGATCTCTACAGTGGCTGTACCAATCTGCCCTCCCGCCAACAGTGTGGAAGAGCTCCTTTTTCTTTACAGCCCCTCCAACATTTGTGATTGACTGACTTCTTGATGAGAGCCCTTCTTTCTGGGGTGAGATGGAATCTCAGTGTTGTTTTAATTTGCATTTATTTATTTATTTATTTATTTAAACTTCCTGCAAAGCTTTATTCCGGAGGGACGCAGTCCTTCTTGGCAGCTGACTTCCTCATGGCAGCCAGCACGTTGCTGAGCTCCTCACGCTTCCTCTTGGCGCAGATGTGCGTCCCCACCCTTCCCACCCTTTTCTTCATGAACTTGAGGGTGCGCTTGTCCTTGGAGACCTTGAACAGCTCGCTAGCTCGTAGGGGGCAAAGCCGCACCCCTCCCGGATTGCGTCCGCACGCACTTGGTGTGTTCGGTGAGGCGTTTGCGATGGAGGTTGTGCCGGGTTTGCTCACATTCTTAGTCACCTTGCTGCCCTTGTTGAGGCCCATGGCCGTGGGATAGCAGGGGGCCATGGCTACTCTTCTTCCATAGTTGCTGTGGCAGAAGGACCAGAGAGTAATTTGCATTT